AACATGAGTCACTGCTCTACCCATCTCTGATGCTCGTGGGAATTCGCTCCTCTGTGAAATAATTGGCCGCTCTATGTTTTTCTTCATGACCCCGAGTGTTTTGTTTGAGCCAGGAAGACCCCAGAGGGCTCAGATGAGTTGCATGACTCTGGCGACAAGTTGTGAATCATCTACTCCGCTACATCATTTATAGAAGGCTGCAGCTTGGGTCACCGTATCTCACAGCCCAAAGTGCCTAGCTTCTCCCTCCGAGCCCCGTGGGGGCAGGGAATGGGGCTAGGCCTGGAGACAGCTGGTCCCAGAAGACAGCTGGTCCCAGAAGACAGCTGGTCCCATGGCAAACATTGGCCTGAGAGACACGACAGGGAGCCAAGGCCGGGCCACCTCTGGTAAAAGGCCCGCTGTATAGCCCTTGTGGCTTAGCGCTTCTTTTTTATTATAATAATAATAATGGGAAAAGGCCCGGGCCGGGCGATTATACCGGCGAATGTACTAACTACCTACCTAACTACCTACCTACACCTTGTTGACTGTCGTGTTCCTCTCATTAGAGCTCATGCTTATTGAGAAATGGTCTGGTGATACCGACAACATGTGGAAAAAAACGCTTATGTCTAGTTCAGAATATTTATTATACGAAACATTTCGCCACGAGTGACTTCAGTCCTATAATAAATGTCCAGAAGAGTACGTAAGTGTCTCTTTCCCACATCATGCCTATTATACCTCGGGTGTCTGTCTTTAGTTTATAATGCTGACTGGATCTTCTGATACATTTGAACACTATGGATCAGAGACAGTCTTCAACACCCCATAACACTTATCTGGAGAGTTTATCTGGAGAGAGTTCCGGGGGTCAACGCCCCCGCGGCCCGGTCTTGCATATTTACATATCTTAACTTTGATTCACTTTCAAAAATTACATTCTACTTTCTCGTTATCTTAGCTCAGCTGCGAAATTCTACATACTTGAGTGTGTTTCATTAGGGAAATTGAATGATTTTTCCATTTTAAATTCTCCAATTGCTCATATTTTTTTCTGTTTTAATATGCTTTTCTTTCCATTTATGATTCTAAGAATGGATGAGGTGTCTTCATCCCATTCACATCGAGGTTGGCTATTTTTTTTGTTTTATCAGGGTGATGATTTTGACCCTGATGAGTAGGTCTCACAAGTATTGGTAGTTACTACCAATACTACCACCACCTCTTCCTGCCTATATATAGCCGTCCTGCTCCACTTCTGGTTAGTGTGACTTTGTAAATGGTCCAAGTCGGACCGAAACGTCGTCGTAAGCTTCTCTCTTTTATGTGCGGGTTATTAGTGTATCGTTCCAGTCACGGTATTATGCCTTTTTTGTTATTTAATTTTGACATATTCTTGGCAAGGATACCTGCCAAGCCGTGCAGAATGCTGCTGTCAATTCAGGATGTTACTGGGTTTCCAGGGAATGCTGAACTTGTGGATTTTAGGTAAACAGAACATGTTATCTGGACTGGAATTGGGAGGAAAAAAAGGTGACAAAGCGTCAGTTGAGAAATTGAATGGCGTGTTTTTATTTATTATGTGTGAGATGAGTAGGTATGAGTTGCTGCCTTTAAACGGTTCCTCATCAAACTTTGCATTAACTTCAAATGTCTTCATTCAGTAACACCTTCTACAGATGATAAATTAGAAACACGTGTAACATTTCAGCATCTTTACTACGTAGACGTTTGGCGAAACATCTGCATGGTAAAGATACCCAAATGTTGTATATGTGTCTAATATATCACCTTGTCGGTACTGTATACCATTGATATTCACCATTTACAGATAGAAATACGCCGTGGCTGTGAAGTCAGCAGTCAACGCTAACTCTGCTAAACTCTATATGACGTCCCTAAAAGAATGCGTCTCCCTTTACCGTCACTTGTCTACGATACGTTGATGACGTCTCCACCACGCAAAGCAGCTGTTATCTTTAGAGATAAGCTTAAATCTACCATATCAGGTATTCATAAGAATCCACCAGACTATAGAATACATATATCTAAAAACGCATTATGCAGTCTGAACCCTAAACCATTGCTACGTATTAATTCGCGGTATCTCGTGTAAAGTGCTAATAGACAGCTTCAAGGTGTTACCCCATTAGCGTAGTAGCTACTGTCTACAGCTGATACGCTAATGGAGGCTCCTTCGGGCATGTCCTCCATCCTCTGTTGAATGACTAGGATATGTCCAGGAAATACACGCTAGGTGTAACATATTTATTTTTCTTTCTCTCCTTCCTTCTTCCAACACTTCTCCCAGTCCACCAACACCTTCCCTGTTGTGTTCCTGCGACATCCTCTCCCTAGAGTCTGCCTGATCTCCCATGTCCTTGGATGACACTCATACTCAGAGGACGCGGTGACTGTTGTTCTGACACACAGCAATGTTGTACCCAGGATGGGATGTGCTGACTGCGCTGATGTTGCCAGGAGCAGCAGTACTGCACCCATCGGGTTATGTGGTTATGCTGATGCTGTCAAATACAGAAAAACATAGCTCATCAAAGACTGACATAACAATACTTCACCCATTAGGGAATTTTGATTGCAGATGCTGCCACGAACACCAACACTGTGTTCTTCATGGGGATGTGGTGATTGTTGATGTTGTCAGACACAGCCATACTTTACCCATCAGGGGGCTGTGACTGTTGATGTTGTCAGACACAGCCATAATTTACCCATCAGGGGGATGTGATTGTTGATGTCAGACACAGCCATAATTTACCCATCAGGGGGATGTGGTTGTTGATGTCAGACACAGCCATAATTTACCCATCAGGGGGCTGTGACTGTTGATGTTGTCAGACACAGCCATAATTTACCCATCAGGGGGATGTGGTTGTTGATGTCAGACACAGCCATAATTTACCCATCAGGGGGATGTGGTTGTTGATGTCAGACACAGCCATAATTTACCCATCAGGGGGCTGTGACTGTTGATGTTGTCAGACACAGCCATAATTTACCCATCAGGGGGATGTGGTTGTTGATGTCAGACACAGCCATAATTTACCCATCAGGGGGATGTGGTTGTTGATGTCAGACACAGCCATAATTTACCCATCAGGGGGCTGTGACTGTTGATGTTGTCAGACACAGCCATACTTTACCCATCAGGGGGATGTGACTGTTGATGTTGTCAGACACAGCCATAATTTACCCATCAGGGGGATGTGATTGTTGATGTCAGACACAGCCATAATTTACCCATCAGGGGGATGTGGTTGTTGATGTTGTCAGACACAGCCATAATTTACCCATCAGGGGGATGTGATTGTTGATGTCAGACACAGCCATAATTTACCCATCAGGGGGATGTGATTGTTGATGTCAGACACAGCCATAATTTACCCATCAGGGGGCTGTGACTGTTGATGTTGTCAGACACAGCCATAATTTACCCATCAGGGGGATGTGATTGTTGATGTCAGACACAGCCATAATTTACCCATCAGGGGGATGTGGTTGTTGATGTTGTCAGACACAGCCATAATTTACCCATCAGGGGGCTGTGACTGTTGATGTTGTCAGACACAGCCATAATTTACCCATCAGGGGGATGTGATTGTTGATGTCAGACACAGCCATAATTTACCCATCAGGGGGATGTGGTTGTTGATGTCAGACACAGCCATAATTTACCCATCAGGGGGCTGTGACTGTTGATGTTGTCAGACACAGCCATAATTTACCCATCAGGGGGATGTGATTGTTGATGTTGTCAGACACAGCCATAATTTACCCATCAGGGGGATGTGATTGTTGATGTCAGACACAGCCATAATTTACCCATCAGGGGATGTGATTGTTGATGTCAGACACAGCCATAATTTACCCATCAGGGGGATGTGATTGTTGATGTCAGACACAGCCATAATTTACCCATCAGGGGGATGTGATTGTTGATGTCAGACACAGCCATAATTTTACCCATCAGGGGATGTGATTGTTGATGTCAGACACAGCCATAATTTACCCATCAGGGGGATGTGATTGTTGATGTCAGACACAGCCATAATTTACCCATCAGGGGGATGTGATTGTTGATGTCAGACACAGCCATAATTTACCCATCAGGGGGATGTGATTGTTGATGTCAGACACAGCCATAATTTACCCATCAGGGGGATGTGATTGTTGATGTCAGACACAGCCATAATTTACCCATCAGGGGGATGTGATTGCCGATGCTACCACACACAACTATATTTCACCCATCACTTCGCGTTCCTCACATTACATCAGAATGTATAATGTGTTGTGAAACGCTCTCTAGCGTTCTTGTATCAGCTGCAACATCCTTGAACCAGCTGCAACATCCTTGAACCAGCTGCAACATCCTTGAACCAGCTGCAACATCCTTGAACCAGCTGCAACATCATTCATGATCCAATTTTTGATTCCGTATATCATGGTAAGCAGCGTCTGGCAGGAGGCTGTGCATCACTGCACCATATTCTATAACCTCTTACAGCACCCCCTCTAACATTTAATTATATCGTCTTTTTAAACTAGAGGGGCAAGAAATGAATAATGGACGTGAACGTATCATCAGGTAAATGCAAGGTCAATTAATCTCGCCAGGTGAGTCAAAGGTTCAGGTCACCTTTCATACATTTTTTTCAGTCACACTGGAAGAGTTTCTCCAGCACCTCTGTAAGTTGATGATGCCTTTGAGAGTAGTTAACTCTGTTAGTGATTAATAATAATAATATCAATTTATTTATATATATGTATGCATGTATGTATGTATGTATATATACATGTTCAAATCCTCGGCTAGTCGTAGTGTTGCTATTGATTCAGTACCACTCGTTGGTGGTAATAATAATAATAATTATTATATATAAATATATATATATATATATATATATATATATATAATATTATATAATATATATATGTAGTAATAATTTTGATGAATGAAAAATCCTCACGAATGTATTTACCTGTAATTTCAGGTGTGTGGTCGTGGGTGAACACTCATCACTGAGTACGTGGAAGAATGAGCTGAATATACAAAAAAAAAGGTGGGATTGTATCTTTCTCTGTATCCTGTTTATTCCACTTTATTGCTATCATATTCTTCTTCCCCAGTCACATCCCTCTTTCCCCTGTTACATCCCCGAGCACCAATCATTTCAACGAAATCTTTCAGAGATGTGAGTTTTCCTGCTGACTCTGGGAGTTGCTTGGCCGAGTGATCTGCTCACTCTAGCGTCTGCCATAAAGCTCTGGCAAAACTTTGTCCCCGGGAGCGCTGGCTGGGGCTGTGTTCCGGGGCTCGTGAAATCTGTCGTTTAATACATTACACAGGTAGATATTTATCATGCATGTTTAATTTCATTATAGTTCAATCAGTACTAGCGTTAGGTAGTGTTGTATGGTGCGTCTTTCTCGTGTTTCAGGGATGTATGATCGATGTAGGGATGTATGGCATTTATGTGCCCTTGAGGGCACATAGATGCCATAGACACATATAAAAGCACATTATGTATATTTAAGTCAAACACTGTGGTTTATTTCTGATCGATAGAAGCATTCTTCAGTTATTTCAAAAGAACAAGTTTAAATATTAAGACTTGCACAGTCTTGAATTAAGAAAAGACTTTCTTTGAGGGAAAAAAAAATTCACACAAAAAGTTTAAAACTTGCCGGAAGATGCATTCTCCAGCTAATTGTTGCTCAAAAAAAAAGCACATACACAGGCAACATCCAAGACATGTTTAATATTTCATATGATGTATCAACCATTAAAGATCGATACCCTTCACAACTGATTTATTCTAATCAGGAAAGCAGCAAAGCAGTAGGGGTCACATAGCGCCTGTGCATGCTAGCTAGGCATGAAAATTCGATACAAGCAATGAGAGTAAATCCCGTCGTGTCTGTGACCACAAACCTTCTCACCAGCACTAGGTACCTTCCCACCATAATTCACAGGAAACATAATTTAGTTTTTGTAATGCAAAATATTACTGTACCATTTCCAGATTAAAAATTTAGAAATAGCACCGGCACAGGACCGTAAACATCAGCCATCTTTGAAGTAAGACACTCGGGGTGTTGAAATTTTTAAAGCTGCCCACAAGAACCTTTCTGAATTTATGTCACGGAAACCAATTTCTGGAAGTGTCTGTATAAAAATCGAGTAGAGGGTTAGTGCACTAGCCGAATGTTCCACCAACCGTCGCTTATTATTAGCTGACCAGAGTTGAAAATTGGAAAGGCGATTGCAAAAGGGTTTCCGAAGTTATGAAGGAAGTGCTTGGAGAAAGTTAGTTGATGGAGAGAACAATGTAGCTTACAACTTGCTGGTTCAGGCACATGGTTTTTTTTTCATGGATGATGAGGTTTTCTCGTGGCGTAAAAACGAAAGGTTAAAGGAAGAAGAAAAAATGAAAACAAATTCTGGCAACTACTTAAGGCTTGCTCTCTCTGAAATACCTGGCAATAATAATAATAATAATAATAATAATAATAATAATAATAATAATAATAAACGAACACTATGAATTCGGTGTTGTGGATCTTAGTGATCTGATAATGTATAAAGGAGACTCGCCATATAAAAGCAACAGAAGACAGATGTATTGGATATTAAAACTGGGGGATTTTCTTAATTTCTGGTGAAAGTAACTTTAGGCTCTGATGAATGGTTCGATTTTACTGAAACTCTGAGGGAAGATTCAGCATAAATGCTCTAAGTATTCTAGTCATCTGAAGGAATGACTGAGGCAGATGGCTAAGCTTCTAGTTGGGAAGGTAGCACTGAGGTAGATGGCTAAGCTTCTAGTTGGGAAGGTAGCACTGAGGTAGATGGCTAAGCTTCTAGTTGGGAAGGTAGCACTGAGGTAGATGGCTAAGCTTCTAGTTGGGAAGGTAGCACTAAGGTAAATAGCTAAGCTTCTAGTTGGGAAGGTAGCACTGAGGTAGATAGCTAAGCTTCTAGTTGGGAAGGTAGCACTGAGGTAGATAGCTAAGCTTCTAGTTGGTAAGGTAGCACTGAGGTAGATGGCTAAGCTTCTAGTTGTAAAGGTAGCACTGAGGTAGATAGCTAAGCTTTTAGTTGGGAAGGTAGCACTGAGGTAGATGGCTAAGCTTCTAGTTGTAAAGGTAGCACTGAGGTAGATAGCTAAGCTTTTAGTTGGGAAGGTAGCACTAAGGTAGATAGCTAAGCTTCTAGTTGGTAAGGTAGCACTGAGGAAGATAGCTAAGCTTCTAGTTGTAAAGGTAGCACTGAGGTAGATAGCTAAGCTTTTAGTTGGGAAGGTAGCACTGAGGTAGATGGCTAAGCTTCTAGTTGGGAAGGTAGCACTGAGGTAGATAGCTAAGCTTCTAGTTGGGAAGGTAGCACTGAGGTAGATGGCTAAGCTTCTAGTTGTAAAGGTAGCACTGAGGTAGATAGCTAAGCTTTTAGTTGGGAAGGTAGCACTGAGGAAGATGGCTAAGCTTCTAGTTGTAAAGGTAGCACTGAGGTAGATAGCTAAGCTTTTAGTTGGGAAGGTAGCACTGAGGTAGATGGCTAAGCTTCTAGTTGGGAAGGTAGCACTGAGGTAGATAGCTAAGCTTCTAGTTGGGAAGGTAGCACTGAGGTAGATGGCTAAGCTTCTAGTTGGGAAGGTAGCACTGAGGTAGATGGCTAAGCTTCTAGTTGGTAAGGTAGCACTGAGGTAGATAGCTAAGCTTCTAGTTGAGAAGGTAGCACTGAGGTAGATAGCTAAGCTTCTAGTTGGGAAGGTAGCACTGAGGTAGATGGCTAAGCTTCTAGTTGGTAAGGTAGCACTGAGGTAGATGGCTAAGCTTCTAGTTGTAAAGGTAGCACTGAGGTAGATAGCTAAGCTTTTAGTTGGGAAGGTAGCACTGAGGTAGATGGCTAAGCTTCTAGTTGGGAAGGTAGCACTGAGGTAGATAGCTAAGCTTCTAGTTGGGAAGGTAGCACTGAGGTAGATGGCTAAGCTTCTAGTTGGGAAGGTAGCACTGAGGTAGATGGCTAAGCTTCTAGTTGGTAAGGTAGCACTGAGGTAGATAGCTAAGCTTCTAGTTGGGAAGGTAGCACTGAGGTAGATAGCTAAGCTTCTAGTTGGGAAGGTAGCACTGAGGTAGATGGCTAAGCTTCTAGTTGGGAAGGTAGCACTGAGGTAGATAGCTAAGCTTCTAGTTGGGAAGGTAGCACTGAGGTAGATGGCTAAGCTTCTAGTTGGGAAGGTAGCACTGAGGTAGATGGCTAAGCTTCTAGTTGGGAAGGTAGCACTGAGGTAGATGGCTAAGCTTCTAGTTGGGAAGGAAGCACTGAGGTAGATGGCTAAGCTTCTAGTTGGGAAGGTAGCACTGAGGTAGATTGCTAAGCTTCTAGTTGGGAAGGTAGCACTGAGGTAGATAGCTAAGCTTCTAGTTGGGAAGGAAGCACTGACGTCTTCTTACACACCTTCACCCATTAGGTGGGGACGCCTTGATACCCCACTTCTACTACCACTAAGACGACCACTACATTACTACTACTCGAACTATTAACATTGCTATTGCCTCCCTTCATCCTTTACTCCCCTTTCTATCTCTTCTGCCACTAAAGCTATTCTCCCTACTTTCTACTACCGCTACGATTTCTACTACTGCTTCCACTATCAGCCTTATCACTGCCACTACTTCTTTTTCTTCCTCTCTTGGTCCCTTCCCTGTCCCGCTCGCCTATATATACTGACTCTCTCACTCTTTTTGTGTCAGTGTGACTCTGTAAATGGTCCAAGTCGGACCGAAACGTCATCGTAAGCTTCTCTCTGTGTGCGGGTTATTTGTGCATTGTTCCAGTCACGGTATTGTACCTCTTTTGTTCTTTCTAGATCTATCATTCTCAGGCATCTCCCATTCCCCAAGCATTGTCTGACTCCTACGGGTTTAGTGTCAAAAATTATCATTATAAAACCAGGGCGGATTGACATTTGTTAAATTCTATGAGAATATGAAGATCATCTAAGGCATAGAAGGGTATAAATAATACTTTCTTCATTGATAACAGACTTTACTCTAATTCTAAAAAACCAAAGTTCGATTTCTGGGTTATTAGAACTCAACTTAGTGTTAGCTGGAAGTTTGTAGCATACAGTAAGTAGGTCTGAGCTTTCAAGTGAGTTGAGGTGAAAACAAAAGAGTAAAGAGTAGAGGTCCAAAGGTTGCTGGGAAACCTTGAACATCGTAACATTATCTGGAGTTTATCTGGAGAGAGTTCCGGGGGTCAACGACCCCGCGGCCCGGTCTGTGACCAGGCCTCCTTAGGTCAGTGTCCCAGGATGCGACCCACACCAGTCGACTAACACCCAGGTACCCATTTTACTGATGGGGAACATAGACAACAGGTGGAAAGAAACACGCCCAATGTTTCTACTCTGGCTGGGAATCGAACCCAGGCCCTCACCGTGTGAAGCGAGAGCGTTAACCACCAGGCCACCAGGCCACCATTTGTTGCATCAGTTCTATACAAAGAGCCAGAGTATGAGACAAGCGGAAGGTTGAGACAGTGAAGGAAGAAGGGTTATGATAGTACAGGCTAATAATCAAATAATGGGGGTAGGGGACTCGATCTCTGAATAGCTTTAAAAATAAGTTGATAGATTAGACTAAACTATCATCTGTTCTGTTCTTAGCTTTCCGTAAGTAAAGTTAAACGAAGCTACTGACATCTTTTAAAAGTCGTGCTTGTACATAATAGCACTGATGATGATAATTTCCAGTCTGAGGAAGGGGGTGTAGACACATATTGGGTACTCCAGTGGGGGTCTGTGATCGTAAAAAGGTTAAGAAACTCTGGTGTAATGGAACAGTTAGAGTGCTTCCTAGAGAGCTGTAGAGTTGTTCGATATGTAGCTGATACAGCTAAAGACGTATGAGCTTTCCATAAAGGAGAGCTCTTACCGGCTAAATATTCTAGTCAATAGCCTTCAAATATTCATTCCTCCAATCTCCGTGGAATTACACAGTAATATTTGTCTGGTTAAAATCCTAGGAATAATGATAATAATCAGGGTATTTATCCCAAAAATCGAGCCAGAGCGAGGTGGGTGGGACTCAGACTTAAAATAAATTTCTGGTCACTCATTGTGAGTGGAAATATATAATTCAGATAGGAAGAAATTGCATTTTTTAATTATATATAATATAATCTAATGGTTGTAATTGCAACCATAATTTTTGAAGGTGTGGAGGGGTAAGCCAGTGGAAGGCCTCGGTCAGGTGACCAAAAGTTCCAACTGTAGGTCATCATTTGACTAAGACACGCGCTAGGAAACACTTTCCCGACGAATCTTATATAACGTAGCCTACTACAATGAGGTAAACATTACACCAAACCTATCTCCTGGAACTCCCTTAATCTGGCAGCAGCATCCGCACACGCACCTCAGAATGACGCACGTAGTCAAACTCAGAGACAAATTTGGAAAGTTACAGAGATTTGCAACTCAAGAACTTTCAATTCTAGCTCTACACAAATCCTGGAATTGAAATGCAAAAAAATAAACCCGTAAGAGACTCTGGAAGATGAACTTGACATTACAAGAGGAGACAAGACACAGAGGAGATATTACCGTGACAAACAGAACAAACTTTAGCATAACAGAGGGAGAAATATTTCATGGTCTCAGAATTCAACATGATAAATACAGATACAAGCAGAAAACTTGACGTGGGAGCAAGAGTCTTAGGCTCAAACACACACATACGTTAAGGAGAGGAGAGAGAGAGAGAGAGAGAGATAAAGAGAGGTGAGGCCTAGTAGCGATCAGCGATGACGTATGGCCAGGAGCTAGGGATCGACCCCTGCAACCATAAATAGGTGAGTACAAGCACACACACACACACACACACACACACACACACACACACACACACACACACACACACACACACACACACACGAGTCCCGGAGCTAAGGGGTATATCCTAGGAGGAATGGTTAAGGGAAATCGACCTGACAACACTGGAGGACAGGAGGGATATGATAACGACATATA